GGACTCCAGGATCATGACCTGAGCCGAAGGCAGTCGCTTAACCGACTGAGCCACCCAGGCGCCCCAAACAGCACCATCTTAATTTGTATGTCCAGAGTGCCTGGAACCAAGTAGATGAGAATTTAATGTTAAAAATCGGTTTTGAAGTAAGAACACTCACAGCTCCCTTACAAAGGAAACTACATCCTCATTCTATGTGAGCAGCCTTTGCATTTGTACTGAGGCACTTACTTGTAGTCTATGTGACTTGACATGGACCCCAGATTTGTCACAGCCTGGCTCATGGCCAAGGGCTTGCAGGAACCAGATTCTCCTTCTTGGTCAGTGTTCCTGAAAGAATCCGTAACTGTGACCCAGATCACGTGTAGCTTGTGGAAAGGAATCGGGCATGGGATTCAGTCCTAAAGAAGGAAATGAGGTCTCAGTATGGTGCTGAACTCCCTATAATCAAGGAAATTATTTTTTTGTTACTATTTTATTATATCAGTTAGTATCTTGTATCTGGTGTCTGGGTAGATGTTGATCTGGAAAACACTTCCTTGATTTTCAATCCAGATAATGTGCTTTATAGAGTATATATCCTTCTAATATAAGCAAATTTCAATAAATATAAGGAAAACCTGGAAAATTTAGTGCAAATTAATAACTTATTCCATGGTCATTAACCCAGTTTTTTGTTTGAACACCAAGTAGTGTATATAGAATGAACTAGATTATTATTTTAAAAAATCCATTCCTACCTTATAGAAGGGCAGCCCTTTGGCAAGATCATAAACAATATACAGAAGCCCAGGTTTTTCTCTTGAACACATTCTAAAGTATATTATCTTTTCCCTGTAAAATCCCCTCTTTCAGCTAGCATCTAAAAGATAAAATTTAGCTCAGTTTTATAACATATTACTAAGCTATTGATTATCATTAAACAAAAGAAACATTTACAAAGTTCCTAATTAAAATGTAAGTCTATTAAACAAATTACCCATAAGCTCTTACAGATTTATAAAGCAGAGGCAAAGGAATAAAAACTCGATGACAAGGAAATACACGTTTCTTTTTAAAGTCCTACCTTATATTAATGCTGATTCTTAAAATTTGAAACGTCTGCTGATTTCAACTATAAAGGCGAACTAAACACAGACATCCAAACAAAGTAATTTTCTGCTAATTAGGCAGCAGTCCCTTGGGTATTTTTGCAGCTAATAATTTTATATTTTCTCAAGAGATTTTTGCTTTGTGTGCATGCATAAAACTTTAATGCATTTTAAGATAGCTTCATTTTGAGGGAAGAGAATAGTTCACTTTAAATGATTCCTACTCTCTAAAAAGAGGGATTGATTTTTGTAGGACAAAATCTACAAATGATATTGTCCGTAATTGCTTTCAACCTTCTAAAAATGAACTCGGGATTCATTAGAAGCAAGATTGAGGCAGTCCTCTTCCTCCACTGATATAGTTCACATGAGTAGCTAGCTCACTTTTGCGATGATCAATGATCTTCTGCCATCTGGTGGCCACTAAAGAAGTGTCACTAGATAGAGTAAGGACGATGTAGTCTAGACCTAAATCAGAATGCATTTTCTTATTCTGAATTCATGCTTTTTGATGAATTCATGTTTTTGGAGAATTGTTCTCTTACTCCCAAAGGAACACCTCACCCTAAATCCTTAATAAACAAACAAACAACAACAAAACGTAGTTTTTACAGTGAATAATCCTGTCTCTAACTCATATAAAGTTGTACGTGTGTTATTTAAAGTATATATTTTATATTTTATGGGTCATTTATGTACCATTGCTAGCATAGCATACATAGGCTAAAATTCCTATTATTAAATCCTGTAGCTACAATTTGTTTCAATTTACAAGGTCAGTTGTTAGTTTTGGCTGCCCTCTTGTGTTCACAAGCAAAACTACAAGCTAGTATAGACTAAAGGCTTTTTGGTCACATTCTGACGCTGTTGTTGCCTTATTTTTATTGAGTCTTTGTAGCAGTTGACCATTGGTTGACTTATGTCAATTGCATGGTCTCATGTAGTGACTTTGTAACTTCAGGTATCTCCTAGAAGCAAAGCTTGGATTCTCTGAGCATATCAATCTTTAGCTTTAGAGACTTTTCTCCCTCTCTTTTGCAAGTTTATCTGGCCTATGAATAGAGTATATTTATTGCTTTGCTCCATTAGCACAGTATCATAAAATTTTATAATTTTCATCCTCGTAATTAGTTCAAATTAGCACAGTATGAATGCATTTCAGAAAGTATCAGAATACACTTTTTGATGGGACTAAATTTTTGGCATGATTCCCAGCATGGGCTTGAATTCATTGTAAGAAGTCCCTGAACTATTTTCAAAGTATTTTTTCAGATCAGACAAAGCAAATCTAATTTCCTAAAATTAATCGCTTAATCTATTAATCTGTTAATGCCAAAGTGGGATTTTTGTCAGCAGGTCCAAAAAATACAGAAATGATAGTTTTAGTTGTTCTCCTATGGTTTTCTCTGATAGGGAATTTTAAGTTATTTCAAGGATTTTGAAACAACAAAATGTCTGATAATAGACCCTATTTTATAATTTTAAATTCACCTCATCCTGAGCCGAAGATACCTGTCAGGTACCAAACAAGAGAAATAAAATCATCATGAGCTTGAAGATATCCTTTTTTTATTTATAAAAATGAATTTGTGTGCCAGATGTATTCAAGACAGTGTCCTAAACAGTATAGAAATAAAAAGCTGTGGCTCTTACGTTTATAACCTACTGCGGGACTCAGGACCTGTTCAGGAAAAAGTAATATAAGAGAACATGCAATTAATGCAAGAGTAGTGTTAAAGCAAAACAGACAGGTGAAAATGACACAGCTCACTTCAGCAGAGATCAGAGCACGCATAACAGGAGGGAGCATTTGACCTAGACTTCCTGAATGGGAAGGTGGGATGCAGATGAAGGAAGGAGGGGAGGAAGAAGTGTTTCAGATATACGAAAGGTCATAAACAAAAACTCCACAGTGAAGAAGTTTAACTTTTTACCTTCTGTTGAAATAAAACACAACACATTTTCATAGAATATGTTTTACTTGTTAAAATCCTAGAAGCTGACAGCTGTATCAATAACTGTACTTTTTTTCTTTTTGTCTCTGAAGTTTGTAGTTCAGAACCAGAAAATGTTCAAGCTGACCCGGAGAATTATACCAGCCTTCTTATTACGTGGGAGAGACCTCGAGTAGTTTATGATACCATGATTGAGAAATTTGCGGTTTTGTACCAGCAGTTAGAGGGAGAAGACCAAACCAAGCATGAATTTTTGACAGATGGCTATCAAGACTTGGTAACTATAAGATCAGTTGTTTCATATATTGATAACATTATAGTTTAATTTTCATGGAAAGAACTTACAAGACTTTAATTGTTTCATGTATTGACAGCACTAGAGTTTAATTTTCAAGGTAAAAACTTAGAAATGATTACATATTGTTGCCCTAAACTTTGTGTGAAACTCTCCAGTGGGGAGGAGGGAAAGCAGAAACTATACTAAATTAGATCGAAACTTACAGGGTATTACCCTAGGTTCTTAATTGTTTTCGGTTACAGGAAGATCACAGCTTTGCCAACAACAACATTATAGTGTAGATGCTTATAGAAGACTTAGGACCTAGAGTTCATCTAGTGTAGCCTCTCTTTACAAATCAAGGGACTCAAAGAACAGTTAAATACTTCGACCGTGATCTCACAGTTGTGGAAATAATTGAATCTGGAATCTCCGTGCTCTGATACTGTCATATATCATTGCCCCCACCATACTCTACCAGCACAAGAAAATAGAGTAGGGGACTCTTTGCATCAAATTTCCAAGTAACAGATGTGAAGTCAATGGAGTCAGAACTTTTGGAATCCAAGGCAGATAATCTTCAGGAAAAGATCCACTCCCTCCTCCTCCCCACCCATGCACACAAATGAAAGAAAATAAAGTACGGTATGGAACAGCTAAATCACTATATTGTACACCTGAAACTAATATAATATTGTATATTAACTAACTGGAATTAAAATGAAAACTTTTTTAAAAAGTACAGATTCTTTCTGTGACCTGAGCATCTCAATATTAAGCTTTGCCTTGCTAGGGAAGGATTGGCCATATTGGGGTCTAGTTGAGAAAACCCTACCTGGCTATGGCTCTAGGAGAGCCCACTGCAGGTCAAAAGCACTAGTGAACTGTGCATTCCCACAGCTGGAGTCCCACCAGGCCCAGGAACCTGCATTTAAACAAAAACTGTCCTTGTTACCATGGCAGTGGATACCATATGGACAAAACTGATAAAATATATAATGAAATAAGTCAATCAGAGAAAGACATGTATCATATGATCTCACTGATATGAGGAACTCTTAATCTCAGGAAACAAACTGAGGTTTGCTGGAGTGGTGGGGCGTGGGAGGGATGGGGTGGCTGGGTGATAGACGCTGGGGAGGGTATGTGCTATGGTGAGCGCTATGAATTGTGTAAGACTGTTGAATCACAGACCTGT